AAAGTTCTTTATCAGGTCAGCAACATACTCATCTTCATGACTTGGTATATAACTTTTAACCTTAAATTTCATTATGTTTGAAAAGCAAAGAAACAGTAATGTTTTCGAGGAAAATGACTTTAAACAGTGGTTTCCAAGAGAGCATCCCATCATTAATTTATATATATGATACATTTTATTAAAAAAAACCAAGACTAAATAATATCTATGTTCTTTAAAATTATATCACTGTTACTTGAAAAATGAACATTTTATTTTAGTTTAAAGATTGTGTGTGTATTTAATCATTTTTTTAAAACAATTCAGCAGAGTGAAGTTTAATAATAGTTAATGTTTTATCAGCGGCTTTGGAAAATAGTTAAAATTACCGTTGGTTTTTATGCCCCGCCATGAATATGGCCGGGGCATGTAGTGTTTGTCATGTCCGTCTTCCGTCCTTCCGTCTTTCCGTCCTTCTGTCCTTCCGTCTTCCGTCACACTTTGCGTTTAGCTCTGTTCAAAGCTAAGTTTCAAAGAAACAATCCAAGATATTTTCATCAAACTTCATATGCTGATAGATATTGATGAGAGCTATGCAACTGCATCAATATTTTTTTTACCCTGACCTTTCCTTTGACCTTGACCTCAATCTTCTTAAATTAGTGTTTAGCTAAGTTTTAAACATACCATTCAAGTTGGTGTTATCAAACTTCACATATTGATACAAACTTGCACAGATGATGCATCTAGGGATGAACACTACCAGACTTGCTTCGGATGCTGAATCTGACCTACATTTTCCCGATGAGTGACAAGGTTAAAGTTTTTGGAGCAGGTCCATTCCTAAGAAACTATAAGCGCTACCCATGCCAAACTTGCATGGATGATGCATATAGAGATGGACACTACCAGACTTGCTTCGGATGCTGGATCTGACCTACATTTTCATTCCCAAGTACTTATAAGCCCGGGCTGAACCAAACTTGCATGGATGATGCATTAAGGGATTGACACTACCAGACTTGCTTCGGATGCTGGATCTGACCTACATTTTTATTCCCTAGTACATGTAACTATAAACCCTCCCTGAACCAAACTTTCGTGGATGATGCATCTAGGGATGGACACTACCAGACTTGCTTCGGATGCTGGATCTGACCTATATCTTCATTCCCTAATAATTATAAGCCCTCCCTGAACCAAACTTGCATGGATGATGCATCTAGGGATGGACACTACCAGACTTGCTTCGGATGCTGGATCTGACCTATATTTTCATTCCCAAGTAACTATAAGCCCGGGCTGAACCAAACTTGCATGGATGATGTATCTAGGGATGGACACTACCAGACTTGCTTCGGATGCTGGATCTGACCTGCATATTTATTCCCTAGTTACTATAAGCTCTAGCTGAACCAAACTGATCAAATTTTATACACATACTTCGGAATCCGGATAGGGCCACGCAGTTCAATATCGCATCATCGAGGTTTGAGTCGATGGTGCGATGAAGCGATGGTGCGATAGCGCGATGACGATGATGCAATGGCGCGATAGTGCGACTACGATAAAGCGATGACACTATAGCGATGCTGCGATAGCGATGATACGATAACGTGATAACGATGAAGCGATGCTCTATCGTGTCATCATCAGTGCTCTATCGCACTATCGTCATCGCATTATCGCACTATCGCGCAATCGACTCTTATGCACATGCGCTATTGAGAATAGAAATGGCGTCAGGTAGTGAAGATACGAACAGAATATATATCAAAAATAGATCTTACTGGCTTAATAAACTTCACATGGGCATTAAAATTAACCATGTCTTTCTTGCCAGACATATAACTTGTCAGAAGATTGTTAAAATATAGTTTGATAATCAAGATAAGTTTGACAATACACTCATCTTGCGACTGATGTAAAAGAAATCGAAATCCGCGTGATCTAGATTTTAGTTTTTAACGGGGGGGGGGGGGTTATTGTGGATTGGAAAATAATTACGATGGTTTTAGTTTCACTTTGTTTGCAATTCATCTTTTATCCGCAAAATTAAACCCATCGTTAATGTTATCTTTAACTATTAAAAACGAATTAATGCTTATACGAAATTTAAATTAATTCCTTGCATCGTGAAATCAGGGACCTATATATTAGTATATAGGTCTCTAGTGAAATAAAAACCATCGCTATTGCACTTTCTTAGAAATCGTGCAATTTTAGCACCGTTAAATACAGTATTCAAAATGAAGAAAATTAAAAGCAAACACAAAACGAAAGTCTTCCTCCCTCTCTCCCTTTGGTACATGTACTTCGTGTTTGTTATTTAAAATATGATTATCAAATACAAATTTAAAGTCAATTTATTATCACTGGGCAATCAAATCTTTGCTCAAGACGTTTAACTACTAATGGTAATACACATGGAAGCTCTTCTGTATAAGGCCATGATTACTTTATTATCATATCCATTAATGAAATATTCTTGAATCTTTTCATCAACAAACGCCATGTTGTGCAATGACTGCTGGGAATGCCATCCTATCTATATAGTCGATAGAGCGATGATGCGATGACCTGATGTCGATAGCGCGATAAAGCTATAACGATGACACGATATAGCATCGCTTCATCGTTATCTCGTTATCGTATCATCGCTATCGCAGCATCGCTATCGTGCCATCTCGTCATTGCTTCATCGTCATCGCACTATCGCGCCATTGCATCATCGTCATCGCGCTATCGCTCCATCTCTTCATCGTTATCGCACCATCGCTTCATCGTCATCGCATTATCGCGTCATGGCACCATCGACTCAAACCTCGATGGTGCGATGCTGCGATATTGAACTGCGTGGCCCTATCCGGATTCCATAACATACAAATTTTCATGTTGCTTTACTAATATATCCTCGGCGGGGCATTCATGTCCTATGGACATATTTCTAGTTTATTTTAAAGTCTAGATTTCCAGAGAAATGATTTGAATGCTTCCTTATGATACCGGCGTATTTTAAAACGGTTTGCAGTTATGATCGAATTAAACTTCTAGAAGTGTAATGAACGTGCAACCCTAACACAGGGTGATAATAACATGTATATTTTCAAATTCCTGATTGTTTAATAATATCTTAAATATACCCATTTAGTGCCAGATCTTAAATCAGAGAGAGGGAGAGACCTTGAAGGGCGTAATCTGTTTAAAAGCTTTGCGCATGTAAGTCCCTGTCTAAATTAAAAATTAACCCTTTTTCCAAAATGTGATTATTTCAAATTTCATAATAAACATTAAATCTGTGCGGCAATGCTCACGTTTAATACCCCCGTCCTGATGTTAATATAATTATACTATCATGTTAATATAAACGTGTACGAATAAATAGCAAGTTGACATCAGATTTTTATTTTTAAATTACTATTATTTTGACTTATTTCAGTATATGCAAAAATTTCTTAATGCATATTATTAGCTACAAAATATCAATTTGCTTAATTTCCATTGCATGAAAATTTCTATATAAGCAACATACTTTGAAGCAATGTGTTAATCTAAGCATATTGCAATCTGCTTAAGTACACTGTTGCCATGTCAAGTCACTTCCGTTTTAACTTAAACCTGTCATAATAAAGAAGCAAAGAAATAATATTATGAGAAATACTGTTCATATTTATTTAATTATTCACCTTCCTCTTATATAACAATTTGTTTTAATATTTGATCACTTTAATAGATTGAAATATCTTATTCTCTGATATTGATGACAAACATAATTTATCTTCTCAAAAGAGAGAGAGAGATGAATAGATGACCTATTAATTCTTGTGTTTGGTTGCGCTAAGAGAAGATTGTTTTAAATGTGGCAGGGATAAAATATCTGGGTCTCGTAGGAATAAATATTTATTGTATGTTTATTGTATGTTGAGCAATCTATGCTGGAATATAATTCGATAATGCTGATGAAATGGATGAATAGTTTTCTTCATTTGGTACGCATAAAAATATATCGGCTATTTGCAGTGTTATCGAGTCTCCTGAAGAGCGTGGCGTCGCTACTCAGCTCTCTCTCATTTCCTGTGACCTTAGAAAAACCAAATGTCCTCAAATTGATACATTTCATCGAATTTCCCTGTAACATCCAACCATGACGAATTGTGTCATATTTAGACTGCGCAAATTAAATCTTTTATTATTAAAAAATTCAAGTTTTTATTCTGTTTTTGTTGGAATTTATAACTTGAAACAGATGACAGTTGACCTCCTCGTGCATCAAAAAGATAACATGATTTTTTTCAAAGTACATATATTAATTTGTGTAGTTAAACAATTTGTCATTTTTTCACCTTCTGAATTGTATCCATCATTGAAAGAATTTAATTTTCAAAGACATACTCGAGCATAGATCATAAAGATGAGAACTTGAAAAAAAATATCTTGCGCGTATGTATAGAATAAACATGGCCAACAATTCTATAATGTTCCCAAATAAGAAATAGTTATTATGTTTCTTTTGATGATAAGGATGTTTTAAATAGCTACAAAGCTATTAAGGGATTTATTTAATACAAAATAGCAATTATTCCAGTCTATTAAACATATACTCTTAAGTTGTACTTTGGACTTGTTGTAAAGCACTCATGTGTTTATTACCTTGTTCGTCCTTTATCCTTTAAACCTTGAGCTTTGTAATTTTACCTGAATAAATATTAAAAGAAGATATGACATTTTTCACCTCGCTTTTGCTCAAAATATAAGTAAACTTAACATGTAAGGATTTTTACAATTTTATTCAATAAAAAGAGAACATTGATATAAATGTCGACTCGATACATTCGAATGCGTAATTACCTGTATACACCTGATGATTAAAACGAGAACAAATAATTGTCTAGTTTGACGAATACCGCGGATAACAAGACAGATAGCGCTTTAATGCTTTATTCCATTCAGCAGATCATTTTCCCCTTAACAAGTCCTCAGTTGACAAAAACAAACACACCAAAAATCGAAATACCTTTTTGAATGTTAGTTGATTTGGAAGGCTTTATTAAAAAATGCAAAGGTACCGAGTCTTGTAAAATGCTTTACGCATTTATTTATAGGATAATGAAAATATTGGATTCACGCAAAACAAACAAAAAATTCTAGAGTGATACTTTTATTGAAGGAAGAAAATGGAGGAAGAGAAGGTAATGAAAAATATAAAATATTCAATTTTTTTCATTATCATGTATGATAAAAAAGGAATGATGTAGTTAGAAAAAAATAATTTTCAAATATTTGGACATATTAGGTAGAAACCTTGTGGAAGAGCCTGGTGAAAATATATAAAGTACCACCCAAACTGGTTTTCTCGATAATCGGGGATTCTGAAACTTTTGTTCCCAAGGTTTGGCCTAGACCAATTTTCCAAACCGCTCTCATGGAAGCTGCAAAACAAAGCGATGGAGGTAAGATCTTTTACAGCTTAGTCTTAACTGACGAATGCCAGCAGTAGCAGTTAAATAAGAATTACCATGATTGTGAGTTTATGTTTAGCGTCTGAGCTTAAAAGAGCTGAAACTAACGAGTTCCAAGTTTTTTTTTTTTTTTGGCTTTTTGTCTTTTCATCCAGAATGCTAATTATGGCACTAGTTTATAAAACTCGAACATTTAAAAATCCCCTCCCGTTTCTACCTTTAACCCCCTTCCCCGCAGTCACGCATATTAACGCAAATACCATTTCCTATCTCTAACGCAAAATCACGCATATACCGTTTCCCCGGAATCACGCATTTTCACGCACTTGAAAAAGTTCATTTAATCTTTAAATTATTGCCAAATTCCTTCTATTTCATACTTGTTAGAATCTCATAAAATAAGAAAGCTTATTTTTTAATTTAAAAAATACGTCATGATATTATTTACGCTAAACTTTAGAGAAAATTGTACTATGCTATAAATTGCCTGCGGGGAAATGGTAAAAACGAATGTCTATGACGTGAACATTAAGTGTATATTGCGTAACAATTCAGAAAGTTGTAAAGAGTTAAGTTATTCTTGCCTTTTGTAAGATTTTAAAATGCCGAAATATTCCTCAACGGATATTGCGGAGATTAAAGAAATGCTGCGGACATTTCATGTATTCTCCAATAAAAAAACCAGGAACGTCATCAATATATTATCAGATCAGAATCACATAAAAACCTTGTGCATTTGAAATGTACATTTGACTTAAGAATGAAATACATATTTTGACCACAATGATGTGTCGTCTTAAATTGCAATTTAAACACTGTGTATTGCAGAAAGTAGCTGAAGAATGTAGGTTTCTAAAGCGAAGCGGGGCTGTTTTACGAGCCTCCCTACGAAATATTTAAACTCCATGATTTTATAGATAAGGAGGTAATATAGTAAACTGATTTTGTTATTGTATATTCTAGAAGATTAATCTTTATGAGCTACAAACAGATTTTTACTTAACAAAAGGTTAAATTTTAATGCGGCGAAAGCACAAATCGTCTGCATTCTTTTACAAATTTACTCTCTGGTGCTAAAGGGTTACTGCAGCATGGTGACCTAATTCGTTTCTCTATAGAGAAACAATTAATCGTATTTTACAGCTGTAGTAGAATAGAAATAAAGTCCTTGTTGTCGTAAATGATGCACATTTCGGTCTCGAAATGTTCTTTGAAATAACAAAGCCTCGGCTAGAGCGTCGGCTTTTGTCTTTCAAACAACATTTCTCGACATCGGAGGTTTTTCTGCAACATTCATGAAAACGCGGACTTTATTTCCTAATGAGACTTCTTGTCTAAATCATTGAACTTTGAATTCATATCCGAGTAATCTGAAAATTCAACGATATACTCGTAAATACTTTAATATTATTAGTTGTCAAACATGAATAAAAGGCATGAATGCATACAAATTTATTTTATTCCTTAAATTTCTGTACGTTTTAGTGAAAATTATTTCTTATAGTTCGCTATCTTCATAGTTAATAATTTTCATAGTATATAGAAATGTTCAATAAAAAAAAAAAAAAACAGACAAACAAACAAACACACACATGCATTTATTGCACAAAGTGTTATATATATATATATGTAATCAGATTGAAAGATTGCTTTTGTGTTTTTTTTCACATTTTTAAGAGTAAACATGTCGATCAGGCTTGAAAAATACAAAAATTTGAGAAATACAAGAAAATCAAGAAAAATCGGATTGGACAGTTATCAATATCTATTATTTTTTATTTAATCACTTTTGTTATTTTTTATAGACACATGGGTTCTCTTTCAAGGACAAGGGAATGGTATATCATCGCTAATCTGGGAAGCCTTTGATAATTACACATATCTTGAAAAGCAGAATCTTAGTGTGAATGAGGAAATAAAAATAGAATGTTTCCCTGTAAAAGCAATTACATTGAAGTTTGGAACCAGTGCTAAAAAGGTAAGCAACAACTAGTTCGTGTAATTGTGTTTTTTCTTCATAATTTAGGATTTTAAAAATTTTTAACAATATGTATTCGATCGAGTCCGAGAATTGTTCGAAAAGTTCGTGGACTCCTGTCATATTTTTTTAATTTAACGTCATATGCTATCCAAATTTTGTAGTACTTCAACAATATATTCTAATGATTAGTATTAGAAACTTTATATTATCATGATTTATTTCAAACCAATCCAGAATTAAAAACTACGAAAATCGGATCAAGGAGCAGGTCAAAATTTAATTATTAGAGAGGTTGAGATTTTAAACTGGTACGCGTACGTGTACTTGTGCATATACTTTGACGTAGACGTACACTTTTTTGTAATCTGTCTGTTGAGATTTTTATGACGTGTAAGAAGAAAGTGTACACCATGATCAATGTTTCTGTTTCAACTATTTATAATTAAAGTTTTTAGACGTCAGTTTAATTGTAGTTAGTAAACAAAACTTGATTAAAATAATTGTTCATGAAACTAAACATCCTAAATAATGTATAACAATCACATTTCACACATAAATTAACTATTTTTTTTAAAGCTGCAAATTTTCACTTACGTGTTGATGTAATTCTAAGAACGTGTAGAATACTTTTCATGGCTAAAATTGATGACGTAATACGCGAGGAATTTAGGTAATTCCCCTACTAGACGTACCCGTTCACATATGAAATCTCAACCGATCATTTCAAGGAGCACAAGACCGGCTAGACCGGTCGACTGAAAATGCTTACCCCATGACACCATATTATAAGTACAATGTTTTTTTTGGGATCCCTTTTTGCTCTGCTACATTTTCATATTGTTAGAGTGGATATGAAGCTTGAATACTGCTTGTTACCCTATATACCATAATTTATGGAAATAAGGGAATTTCATTTTGCATTTAAATATGAATGAAACACATTGGGATAACGAACAGTATTCAAAATCAAACGTCCATAAAACAATGCAAAATAGGAGCAGAGCAAACATGGACCTCCAAAACATCGAATATGGGATAGGTGCCATTAAGGAGTAGGCATCCTCTGCCGACCAGTCACACCCGCCGTGTGATGCTTGTGAAATAATGGTTAAATTCCGTCGTTAATTCAGTGTATAAATAATGGACTAACAATAAATCTGAGAAACGTCAGTCAGCATTTGAATCAATGATAAATTGTATTTGTTGACAAGGTCATTGTATCGACCATAGAACTTCCAAAAAGTTAACTTTAAAAGAAACAGCTGAAATTCTTGTTTCTTTAACTTGTTTGTCAATAATTTACCTCGTTTTAGATATTTTAATACGTAGAGCATGCTCTTTAATTGCGTATCTAATAAACTGAAATATTTTAACTCCGTATGCAGGTGATGAAGGTATATTGCTGCTAAGGTAAGGCCAATAGACGAAAGAAAAGTTAGTCATCACGTTTATCATAGAGCTGGGTTGTAAGAATACCATTAACTTATTTTTCAAGAAAAATATCCAAATAAGAAACAGATGCGTCAGACTCAGTGATATATTTTATCTGAAGTTCTCTAGGATATAACGTATCGACATGAGAATGGAAATTACCATTGTCAATTGACGATACGTCGTTGATGTATTTAAATGTCGATTTGAAGGCCACAGCAAGTGTTTTCTTCTTTTCACGCATAAGATTTTGCACAGATTCTGCTTCATATGAATATAAAAATAAGTCTGCTTATAACGGAGTGCAATTTGTACCCATGGGAATTCCAATAAATCGTTAGAAGACCTGGTCTCCAAAATGGACATACATATTGTCAATCAGAAAGTCAAGCATTTTTCTGATGTCAACTTCAGATTGAGTACTTGCACTCTGTATGGATGTACATGCACTAGAAAGCAGTACTTTTGCGTACACAAGAAAGTGTGTATGTACTACCTCGTGTACAAGCAAGGACTGCTTTTTAGTATCTGTTGAATTACTAGTTGGAATTTCTTGCACTTATGTAAACTTTTTCTACACGTAGGAATTTCTTGTACCAATGAAATTACTAGTAGGTGTTAAATAAAAGTGTGTATGTACTTTTATTGAACAACTATTAGTAATTCCTTATGAATTACTAATTATTTATGTACTTTTGTTACCTTGTAGGTGATGAAATTGGAAGACCATATCGCATGTACTATTTCAGAGACCAAAGACCATTTCAGGGATGCCCGTTTAAAATTTGAATGCTTTATCAAAAAACAGACAGTTTCATTCATGAAAGAGAAGGTACCCCCAAAGAGAAAAACGGATCTCGAATTAGGTATTTTACCAACAAAACTTGTGTTTATATCATACTTGAGAATCATTGCAGGAGACTTTGTGTTGCGTTTTATTTGAAACATGTGGAGATAAAGTGCAGTGGTTTATCTAAAAGAAATAATTACAATTACAATCTGAGAAAAGGGTATAAAACACTTACCAGAACGCTACTGTTCTGCAGCTAGTTTAATACGAACTGGAACATTATATGCACTATTTAAAAAAAAATTTAAGTCCACTGATGGACTTTTGCAGTTAACGGCTTACTTTTACAACAGAAAAATATACGGTAGCTCTTTTGTGAAAAAATATTGATCTTAATATTTACCAAAAAATAATCACGGGCTATTTCAAAGATCATATAACGTTGTCTGGGACGAAAACTGCAACATCCCTACCCTCAACACCCTCTATTCAAGTCTTGACTAACTTCTGCCGAGTTTTCCTACCGAAACGTGTCTTCCTCTGTATTTCATTTCTTAAGTTATTTAAAATAAAGGATATATTAATTCTCGTGAATAAACTATTCAAATAAATTTTATTAAGCATCAATTATTATTATTATTTTTTTTTTTAACCATCAATTATCGATTTTGTTTAATAAATTATTTGTAAGCCCCGAAAACAATAACTTTCACCTCTTGAGATGTTTTCTATTTTCTATTTTCAATTCAGTATCTCCATACATGACGCAGGTTTAAATGTCCAAGTAAGGTGTCGAATGTAAAAGTAAGTCTCTTCATAAAACTCCGATTATTAGTGTAACAAATAGAAAATTTATCGGTTTAAACACTGTGTATTGCAGAAAGTAGGAAGATCCCTTTTAATTTTTAGGTCCAAGGTCACGCTAATTCCGTAAGGTGTAAGAAAGATCTCTATTTTCTGGAGGTCAACAGGTCAAGATCGCAGATGCTTTTGTGTTCTTTAATTTTATTTTATACCATTCTTCCCTATTGCCGGGTCCGCCTCCTAAAATTGTTCCTCTCCCTTCAACCCAACATGATCCGCGCGTGCTGTTCCTTTTTTCCAAGGACACTGATTCTCTGAAAAAGCTTGTATAAACTCTATATTTGTGTCTTTAATAAAAAGAACTCTCAAAGGCATTCAGTGGTATGAGAGGAGTTTTGGATAAGAGATGGGTACTCAGAAGTATAACACGGACTTACAGACAGCTGGACAGACGTACGGACGGACGTAACGATTACTACATGTATATCCCTCCCACTTTTCAAGAGGGGGTATAATAGCTTTGATTATGTTGCTTGGGTTATTGAAATACACTGTATGTTGATTCGTTATCCACATTCAGTACAATTTCCTTTTAAAAAGGCTGTTTTCGAGAATAAGGTTCATGTTCATAAATAATTTACATTTCATTACACAATGACTGATTATGCCGATTAAAACTTGTTATATACATGTAGTTTATCGATACTGGTTTAAGGCTTATACTGTTCTTTTTCTGTATTTTTAAAATTAAAAAAAAAAAAATTTTTTACTTCAAATTTTATTCAGGTATGGTTGTTTAAATTATTCATTCACAGAACTACCTGTTCCAGTTGTGCGAGTTTTAGTGGAAGGAGATTTAAACAGTATCGTTGAGATAGTAGAGTCTGTAAAACAAAATATACCTGTAGTAATAGTGAAGGGTTCTGGAAAAGCAGCAAATCTTATCCTTAATTATATAGAAAAGTATGTAATTTGAATTTTACATTTGCTGAAAAGTTATTAAACATTACATCTTTATATTATTTATTTAATACTCGCTTATGGAATAAATAAGATAATTTATTAGATAACTAAATTAAAAAACTAAATTAAAATTACTCTGACGTAAATCAGCACTTTTACTTTGTAGGCAACAGTCCCTCAAAAGTGATGCCGCGCTTTTGTTTGGAATCCGATTTCAAAGCAAAACCTTCGAAAAATTGAAAGAAGGCCTTGATGAGCTCAGAACCTTTGAACATCTTGTAATATTCATTTTTATTACACTAATTCTTTACTATATATAAAGGAAGTAGATTTCTCGATCAGATTTTAGCCAAAATAGTAACACTTGAAAATTAGTTTACAGTTAATTAAAAAGTAAATAATATTTAAAGGATACAACCCTTTCATATGTTTCATCCTGTGTTAATGAATTTATACTTCGTTTTTTTTTTTTTGATTTTAGATAAACGTCTTTGATGTGGAAAAAAATAATGCAATTTATTTTCTCCAAGTCACAGGCGAAGCCATTGTGCGTGCATGGGCATATGCGTACTTCAAGAATAAAGGTAATAAATTTATGTATAATTAAATTTCTTTTTCATTTTTGCGACAAATTAGTCATATTTAAAAATGAGACTTAATTTTGTATCGGAAGATATGGTTTTAATTGTATTTTTTGACGTGGATTGAAGTGTTTTCTATCTAGAAATAATTTTGTCATTTTGAGTATTAAATATACTGAAACGCAATAGAAACATAATAACCTCTTTTCCTCATTTAAATTAGATATGCATTTATCAAGAGCCAACAACACAAAATCATAACATTTTGCACAGAAATATTGTATATTTTAGCATATTTTTGAAAATGAATACAAAAGGTATAAAATAAATATTCCGTATCACAATAGACATTGAATAGGCTAATAAGCTGCTTGATTTTGGTTATACTTATCTCTAATTAAAAGCTATTAACATCTTTTTCCTGTAGAAAAGAGCGATTCAGAAGGAACGGATAAGCCTGTTGCATTTTTCTCTCAACACGTTAAGAAAAAGCAATATCAAAGAACTCTTGTAAGAGATGAGAAAGATATGCAGTTTGATGTGATGCCTGCTTCGTTACCGTTATTCTTTTATTTTGGATATCAAGTTTTGCAGGAAAAGGGCAAACTCATTGATTGCGGATATGTAAATATATTGAAAACGGTTCAATGTTATAACATAAAAAAAATCATCAGTCGTACTTCAACGTCCCTTTCATTTACCAACAGAGATCGTAAAGATTTATATCCTTTACTTATAAAAAAGAAACACAATTGGAGTTCCAGGCCTCCTTTTATTGATATGCTACAGAGCATCAAATTAAATGAAGTTTTCCACCATTAGCTGGTGGCGTCCAAATTTATTTGAAATTTTATTGAAGGAAAGTAAACATAACAAAAAATTAAATTTAGAGTTTTCCCTCTCTAGTATTTACAGCGAAATAAAGGTATGCCTATTCAGCTCACTGTTTATCTGAGAAAAAAGTTAATGTTTTCTAACACTTAATTTATCAATTGAGCAGATTTTACAGTATGAGGCTTTAAAAACCAACAGATGCGATTATGTCAAAGTCCTTGTTTCCGAAGGAGTGAAGTTCAAATCCACCTATCTCGCAAAACTTTATAAAGAGGTTTGTAGATTCCGAAAATAGGCAAACATCTCATATTGGACCATATGTAATTTGAGAGAAATATTCAAGTTTACTTGAAACATTTGTTTTTCTTTCTAGACTTTTCCAGAAAATGAGGAACCTAAGCTACTTTTCAAGAAGGATCAATTTGTGGCAAGAATATGCTTGATAAATTGAATCAAAAATTATACATTATTCTCTTTCTCTCTCTCTATCTCATATATATATTCATAAAATCTATTGTTTATTACAGAGAATAAAAATATGCACTGATGCTGTCCTGTCGTTTACTAAAGAACCATTGGTTAAAGACAAAGCTGACTATGAATATTTGAAATCGAGTACAAAAAAGAAGCAAAAAAAGAATCAATACAAGTCTATTTCAAGAGATATTAGAAAATTATGCTGCTCTTTATTGCACCACGACGGTATGTACTCAATTACTTCTATAAAATTAAAGTGTTTTAAGGAGCGCATGTGTCGCTTATTTTAGCTTCTTGTAAGATGTAACTAAATCTAAGAGTTATAAGCTATTTATATGCTACTGGCATGCACTGTATTTCATTCAAAAAACAAAATCTAAGCATGCTAGTTCATAAATGCACTAAGTATAAGACTGCGATAGAGTCTGTCAATTTAATAAAAAAAAAAAATGATTTCCAACCGTCATATGAATGAGATGAAATCATTATAAATAAATTATAAATTAGTTCATACGTGTTTCAGTCTTTACACCAATTGTCACTCTTCGCGATCCATTGTGGGATCCCGATCCCTGTGTATTTTCATATTTAAATATCAGTTTGTTTGGTTACTGAATATCATACAGTTTAGTTTCAAAGATCAGTATTATGAGCACATAAACATGTACAATTGTAATTAGCAACAACCGCCACTCATAAATCAACAGTCTTAAATTAAATTATCCGTTATACTCTTTGTTAATTAGGTCAAAGGTCAAGTTAATTGTAATGTTGATATTTTGTAAATGTTTACTGGTATTCAGTACACATCCTACATAACATAAAATTACCTCTTAAACGTAAAAAAAAAATGCTGTTAAGGCCATAATAAAAATATTCCTAGATTTTCATCCCTACTCGCCCCAATTTTTAATTTCTGTTTTACTTCGTCTGAATTCTGATCGGGATCGGTATTTATCTACACAGCCAATTGTGCCTAATGTTAATTTAACATGAAAATAACGTTAACTTAACACAAAAGTGGCATTAAACTAACATCAAGCTAACGTTAATTTAATGTTAATTGAGATTAACACTATATTAACATTAGGCACAATTGGCTGTGTACCATTCTACTTTCGTAGAACCCTCACAATTATAGTTATTTTACGTTGCCAGAATTACATTAACGATAAACCGGATCATTTTTCATAAGAATTAATAAAAATAAAGAGCATGTGTGTTTTGTGATAAATTAAACTCATTCGAAAATTGTCCCTAATTTAAGCAATTTTGAGTACCGATAGTTACGATAGCACAAAAAAACTAGTTGAAGTACTAAGAAGACTAGTAGTAAATTAACTGTCCATACAATCACTACCTTAAAAGTAGTTTTACTGGGTATTGATTAGATTTACTAGATAATATTAGTAAATCTAGAATTGATAAGTAACTTTCAATAGGTATATAAGTATCTATACAACCCCCGCAACACTTCTAACTATCTTATCCAGTAAACAGAAAGATTACTAATCACGACAAACGCTTTACGAGGCACATTAATTAAAATCACTATGTATTTCTTTCAGTGTAGACAAGCAAGCAAAGAACGTAGCTTACAATATGACTGTTTGATAACATATTCGTGTTGACAATTTTCAATGATTACAATTTACGAATGGTGAACTTATCTATCATATGATCCAGAGCATTTGAATTAAATCAAATTTATTTTACAAATATATTATCTAACATTCAAAATTTGATTAGGACAGATATTTTATTGTTTCTTTTTTCTACGTTGAAATCCGCAGCTGAACAGCTAAAGTGGGCATGCCGTTCAGTCATATACAGTGCAAAAACATCACTCAACTTAATATTTCATAAAATTTTTATCGGAATAAAATAATAAACAAGTATAAAACTCATAAAAAAAATCTTAACCGATTGTCTCTTACATTTTTTCAGAGGGACGGCAACGTAGATTACGCAATTACATCTTGTCTAATAGTAGGTACATCCTACTGTAATTGTTCGATATAGAAAAAAAATCTATGCAAACAAAGTTTTATAAAACATGCATTCTGAGAGATTGCATAAGCAATACATGTCCCCTACCAGGTTCCCCTTTTTCTTTAGGATGTCATTTAATAATATGCAAAAGTTATGTTCAACCCAAATAAATGCTTGATTTTGAGGTTTTGAATGCCTTAAACCTACTTAAATTAACCTCATTAAAACCAAAATTCAACTCATTTTTTTTCAACGGCTTTTTCTCGCCTCATATTTATGTTGACCATGTTGAATTTAGCAAAGTACGAACCCGATCTTAAACGATTATGAAAAATTAAAAATGCCATAATTTTGTCAGAAATCAATGAAGCGAAACGACATTCGAACTTGACCTGTAACTCATCAAGATACATTCACACACACCAAAATTCAGCTTAATATCTGCAAGCGTTTAGCAAAAAGTGCGGAAAACCAAGCAAGACAGACTGACAGACAGAGGGGGACAGACGAAGTGGAAACCTATAGTCCCTCCGGTTTCACCGGTAGGGGACTTATCTACATATACATTTACCATAATATTATCTTCATGATCATGAAGCTTAAATTCTTAAAACGACGGATAAAAGATACAGAATACAGATGCTCGTACGAGATATTTTGTTCCAAGTGTAAATTGATTCAAATTTCAATTGACAGATCGATAAAGTTAAGTTTTGAATGTTAATATGCGACATAAAAGATATTTCAGGCTGGAAAAGTCACATTTATTATCGACAACGTAGTTTACACACTTTTAAGTGACATTAAATCAAGTTCAAAAAATAAATTGGGAAATTAGTCGTACACATTTTAGTAATTATTTAAAATAATTGCCTGCATTTGTGTCAAAAAAATAAGATGTAATGAAGAGCTCTAGAAACATACGGATGATTAAATAGATGCAGAAACTTAACACACCCGATTGGCGACACGCAAAACTTGACAAAATTGATAGTTTTTCTGCTATGACTTAAAAAAACCCATTTATTAAGGGGTCCGTGTGTATAGTTACATCTGAATAAAAAATAACGCATACAACTATTTATATACGTCATATTTTTCAGGTAGGGCCAGGAAACATGTATTTTGTCAAAAGACCACTTATTCTGAGAATGGGTTGTCAATAAAAAGTCTGCAAAATTGAAAATAATAAAGAAAATATATAAAATAAAAGCCGCCCGCCCGCCTGGATTTTTAAAAAAAATCTGACGAGAATCTTGAAATATATTTATTATGGCCTTATTGGCACTTTTCATTTTTTAGTTAACTAGATCAAAGGACAAGGTTAGTGGTCACACGATTGGTAAAGATGGCAATTTGCAAATGTCATAGTGCCACGCAATAAATTTGGAAAATATCAAGAACATATATCTCTTACAGTTCTTGAGATACGGGATGTGACAGACGGACACACACTGGGTAAAGTGATCCCTTAGTCCCACCCTGCTTCGCAGGCGACACAAAAAGACGATCTCTTAAAATAGTTTACAAGAGGCCCATGGGCCTTATTGGTCACCTGAGCACCATGCAACAACTTTCTAGTGATTGAATTTGGTTCATGTTTTAAGCTAGATGCTATGGCATTCATCATTTTGAAAGAGGCATCATTGCTGATCATAACTATACACTTAGCAATTGATTAGTTTGATTACTTAATACCCATAGGCAGGGTATGGAAACAAAAAATGCATATATCTAATCAATAATATTCAGCAATAATCAGTAGTGCCCCTACCATACATTAAACCTGACCCTAGGTCCACACATTGTACAATTTTTAAAAAGGCACCCTTGCTTATTAAATTATTGTTTACATACCAAAGAGCAGATTTCAAACAATTAATTCATTTTCAGTATATAATTAGAGCCCCCCATTCTGGAAGAAGGGTCCTTGCTTATCATAACTATATAGGTAGTCCGTCTGCTTAATACCCAGGAGCAAAAAAGAAAATTTTCATTCAAAGATTTAATATATTTTCACTATATAATCAATAAGCCCCGCCCTAACACAAGACCCCTGACCCTGGGGCCATAAAATTAACAATTTTAAAAAAGGTACTCTTGTTAATCATAACTATGTACTTATTTAGTTTATTCAATACCCAGGAGCAGAGAAGAAGACTTTCAAAGAAATAATGATCTAATAAATAAAAATAGAAATAATAATCTATATAGCCCCGACCTAGTACCAGAACCTCTGACCCTGGGTCCACGAATTTCAAAATTTTGGTAGAGGACTCAATGCTGATTACAATCATGCCAACAGTTTCACTGCTTCATGTCCAGGAGTAAAGAAGAAAATTTTTAAGGATTGCATTAATTCTAGTGGTTTTGGCCCCATCCCTCAGGCCCAAAGGGGGCAGGGACCATGCAATTCACAATTTCTGTTCCCCTTTACCAATACATACCTTGTTCCAAAACTGGTTGAAATTGGTTGAGCGGTTGAAGAGAAGAAGCTAAAATGTTCAAATGTTAACACA